AATCACTTCCTTCTTGACCTAATCAAATATCTCATGTTGGGTATTTAGTCTGGATTGTTAACTACTTAAAGCTGTGCAGAAACCCAAAGGAAGTATAAGAAATAAATTTGGTCTTACAAAACAAATCATGACTCTCTCAGTTGCAGGTATCAGAACCTTAACTTGAATTTACAAAAGCCAAAAGATAATTTATTGACCCACAGAGAAAGCAGAGACAGCTCTGGCCTCAGGGAACCCAGATGCTTTCAGATGTGTCTGCCCCTATTTGTCTGCCTCTGGTCTTTAGTCTCCCTGTGGCTTGCTTGTTTTTTCTCCCTCTGTTTGTCTTTGACACTTTGTCACAGGTACTCTTGCTGCCCATGCGTGCTTTTTCTTTCTGTCATGCATGCTCTATGTCTATCGCTTTGTTGCTCTATGTCTTTCTGTCTCTATTTCTTCCTATGTGTGCCTCTCTTGCTCAGTGTCCTCCCCATTCCCCTAGCTCTTTCTCTGCTTATTTTGTTACATTTTCTTCTACCGCTGAAAGGCATTTCCATGTGGCTTTTAGGCTGTCTATTCTCACATTCTAACGGTTTAGCAACCAGAGAAGAGAGGATGCTCTTCTTCCAATTCTAATTATAAAAATCCATGGAAAACCCCTTTCTGCCTTAGCTGATGTAGCCAAGGAACAGAGCACTTGGGTACCTCCGAGTTTAAGATGGAAAGAAACAGCAATCCCTCAAAGATGAATGATCCTCTTCTGGGCAGACTAAACAGAGAATGTTCAAAACAAGAGATCAGACTTAAATATTAAATCCACAGTCTTCACTCATACTCATATTTGAGTGCTTATTTTATTTATTATTATGGAATTCTTCTGCATTCAAATAATTTTTCTGTAACTTTTAGTATTCATGCTTTTTTTATTTATAATATGAATGAAGTGGATATGATACATAGATATATTGTCTAATCACACAGGACAATTTTCTTTTCTAAAAGACATCTTCATTATTTTCTGTGAATGATGTTTTATAGTTTTTTAAAGTCTGGTAGTTCATTTATAAATATTTCAGACTAATATGTTTCTAAAATTGTTGTAAGTTCATTTTGAAGATTGGTTAGAATAATCTCAGCTCTTTTACACTGTTAGATCCAACATTAAGGTATTGGGAAGTGATAGGTATTTACCATGTGTCTATTTTAGTACTTTTGAGTACTACTCTTTATTTTTCTTAATTTACATGTTTACCTACCCTACTAGACTTTAAGCCTCTGTGATGAAAGAACAATATCTTTTTCACAGCATAGATGAATAGGTACTCATAAAGTGATTGTTGGTAAACTTTCTCTTTCCTGCACTTCATGTTTTAGAAAACTTTGTACTTGTAAGAAATATAAGTGTTTGTTGGAAAACAGACATTAATACACTTAATGATGTTTGAGTCTCCTGACCATTTTATACTTGCTCAGATTTTTCACCTGTATGTCACACTGTGGAATGATGAGCCTGTATTTTGGGCAGAGAGGAACCTTTTGTAACTAAGTATTATTTCATTGTGTTCTTGATACAGCATGCAGTGTTGCCTAATTATTTGTAATAGTTGTTAGGGATGGGTAGTTTGGATTAACTCAAACTGTGACATAATATTTTTAACATGAAATGATAAAATGATCAAGATTTCCTTCTGTAGGCTACAGAGAGTGAGGTAGGAGATGTAGATTTAACACGTCTTCCAGAAGGACCTGTTGATTCTGAAGATGAAGAAGAGGAAGATGAAGAGATTGATCGAACAGATCCATTGCAGGGGCGAGATCTTGTTCGAGAATGTCTTGAAAAAGAACCTGCAGACAAAACTGATGATGATATTGGTAAGAAATACACCTGTTCACAATAAAAATTTGTAACTTAATTTATATATAGTTACCTATTGCCACATAACAAACTACTCTAAAATTTAATGGCTTAAAACAACATACATTTATTATCTCATAGTTTTTGTGGGTCAGGAATTTAGGATGGGTGGTTCTGGCTCAGTATCTCTCATGAGGTTGTAGTCAGAAGGTTGACAGGGGCTGCAATCATCTGAGTCTTCACTGGGCTGAGCTGGAGGATCTGTGTCCAAGATGGCTACTCACATGGCTTTTGGCACAAGACCTCAGTTCCTCATCATGTAGGCGTCTCCATAGGCTGGGTAGTCAGAAGGTTGACAGGGGCTGCAATCATCTGAGTCTTCACTGGGCTGAGCTGGAGGATTTGTGTCCAAGATGGCTACTCACATGGCTTTTGGCACAAGACCTCAGTTCCTCATCATGTAGGCGTCTCCATAGGCTGGTTAAGTGTCCTTACAACGTGATAAGTTGGCTTCCCCCAAAGCAAGTAATCTAAAGGAGAAGAAAGCAGGTGTCACAGTGTCTTATATAATCTGTTCTCAGGAGTGACACATCTATTGAAGTCTTTGTCACACTGAGCATCCCTGTGACAGTATGGGAGGGGACTATACAAAGACATGAATATCAGGAGGCAGAGATCATTGAGAGCCATCATTAAGGTTGGCAGCCACATTTATAACAGAAGCTTTGATTACATTAAACTAGTTTTTCTCTTCCTATCCATAAGACATTTAAAATACAGTATAGCCAGTGTCTATGAATCAGCTTTTTAAAGTTTTTCAAAAATCATATTTATACTATTCTAGCCTAAATATAAATATGTATATATTCCTTTAAGTTTTTTAGTTAAAACTTTATGTATTTTCCTTTACGGAGATTCTTACAAGAACTAGATACTATACTTTGGTTGGAAACTCGGGTGATACTAAAGATAACTGATGTTATCTTTAAGGAACAAAAATGACTTATTGTCAATTATATATTGTTACAATTTTGTTAAGATTTTACTCTAGATTTCCTTTATATAATACTTACATTGCCATCATTCAGATTAGAAGACGCTGCTACTAATAACAGTCATGCTTTAAGTCAGTAAAGATCAATATATTTGAACATTTCTTGCAGTTCTAAAGATATAATATAATTAAATAACCTGCAGTTTAGACTCATGTTTTGAACATTATCTGGACAGAAACTGAAAGTGCATTTTTAATGATAAAGAATTGTATTCTATTTTATTTTCACAGAGCTTTTAAGAAACTGAAATATAATGAACTCCAATTATCTGTGATTATATAGTGCCTTATAGTTATTTCTATTTAAGCCCTTAGCTGACTGCTTGTATATGTTTCTCCCTTATATTTATCTTTATTACTCATGTACCTATACCAAAGAATGGCTTAAGGCACCATAAATATCAGTTGGTTAAATTAAAGAGAGTTACCTATTTGCTTTGACAAATCTTGAGCTAGAATTCACATTTGTTAACCCTAATTTAATTACTTACTGACATTTATTAATAGCATTAAAAAAAAACCCTCTAGCCCAATAAGAATGATATAAAAGGCTTTTTCATTAATCTATTAAATCAAAGGGCATCACTAAACAACCACCATAGAGTGGTACCTCAGGCTAGGATAATTAGATAAATTCTTCACCCTCATCTGAACTTGTGTAGTTTCTTGGTTCTCTCTGTAGATTATAAATTCTGGTGTCTTCAGTATGCCCATGTTTACATGTGAGTCAAATATAT